GAATATGGAATACTGTCACTGCTCGCATTCTGGAAGGAAACATGCTGTAAGTTTTCGACGAAGAAGTCTGTGTGTCTCCATACCAGCAAAAGCATCTGGGGGCCACGATATGGTATAAGAGAGGAATGATCATGAGAAGAAGGTGACATGCTCGAATTTCTTTCTGAAGTTGTTATCATTAGATCAAAGCTACCACACTTCCCGGTTGAATTACGCCACTGCATGAAAAGCGTTCGCTCATGATTCGCTTACGTGAGAAATGGCCTGTGCCTAATATTCCATAATTATGCGTTGGTGTAAGTGCGAAATTCTTTGAAGTGACAAGGCGAGCCTTTGTCTTGTGTTGAAATGGCAAATATGAAAGGAAGGCAGGCTCGTTGGTTCCAGGATTGATTTGATAAGGAGTGAAGTAAATGAGAATGTATTCTAGGATACCTATCACCTCAATGTGGTGAGAAGGTGGAATGGGCTGCATGCGGGCGCGTTTGACCAATATCATTCCGAGTACACGTCCGCTTGTCCACTCAAGCGAAGTCGAGCGTAGCTTCCTTAGGATCGCAATAATAACGACCATCGGTGGTGACGACGCGGCCACAGCCTTGGCGAAGCAGCGTTGATTACACAAGGACCAATATTGCCAGCACATCAATAGAAGGGCCAACAGTTCCCAGCGCGTTGGATCCAGCCGTCTCAGTTTCGATTCGCGCATGCGACCCCATGTGATGGCGAAGGTGTCGCCGAAATATTTCTATACCGGCCTCCATCCAAAAAATTACAAAGTCGATCCCTCCGTTGGGAATGTCTCATTGTACATACTGTCGACCTGCTTCGACGGCGAAGGGCATGGCACACTTCAGCGGTCAGGAATCTGGGGCTGACGCCTTGGATTTTGAGCTGTGACAGCAGTCCTTCTAGGGTACAGGTGGACAATAAGAAGGTGGGCTCTCGCAGAGATTTCGCTGTCCTAAAAATCAGTCGGGTGTAGCTGCTTTGTTTCATGCGCCCATCATTTGTGGCGTAACCAGCTGCGACACAGCCAATTTTTCAGATTGCCTTCATCTCGACTTTTAATCACCCTTGGATGTGTACCGGGAAGTGCCGGGAAGTGGAGAAATGAATGCTGTTATGCCAGTGCTCTCATGGAAAATGTGAAAATAAAAACGAGCCAGGTATAAGAATACAGGAATAAGAACCTGACGATGGACTTCTAAGTGAGAATTACCTCACAGGTCGACTCCTTTCAATTTCGTAGTGACGCTTATCACTTTGGTCTGTTCGTACGCATACACTATCATTCAAGAGTCTTCTGTGGAACCTCTCTTTGGACTGTAACTTTTCTTTTCTGCTCGATCAAATCAGTTCAAGTTTGCTATGTTTTGAAGGCAAGCCTCTTCCACTGAACCAGCATATTCGTGTAAAATGAAAGAAGGGATGAAGAATAAAAGAAATTCAGAAAGTCCATGAGTATGGCCCAATTTGTAGTGGATTTCAAATTATTGTCAAAAGCTTAATAAGCTTTTAGAGTACTAGAAGCTTACTTGGGTCCAAGTATGGCGTTCAGTCAATGACACTTTATGCAATTTCTTCTACTTTTCTTCGAAGGTGATCTCAGATTTCTGCCTCTCTTTTCTGCCAAAGGTAATACCAGCTTCCCGTTACAATTATTGATGACCTCAGCACATGCGACTGCGTTGATCCCTCCGTTAAGAGCACACCTTTCTGTCGAAACCACCCTTGCACAGAAGATGCGATAATTTGTACGCTCCACCGCTAGATAGTAAAGTCAGTGAATCTTTCTAGAATCAATTAGGATGTGGTTTTCCAACATCATCTCATCAATCCTGTAAAGTTGTCCGACTGCGAAGTTATAGGGAGTGGAGTGGGTGCGCCCACACCCGAATTGGATCTGGCCACAGGGCTTCAGTGTCATCCGAAGCGACAAGAGTCAATTCAGGGTGTTTGGTGGTTAGCTCACTTGGCATGTGCTGCATCCTGACGAAAAATGTTTCAATCCATAGTTTCACCTATCATCTTTGATAAAAAAGCGGGGCTCAGTTTTGGTCGTGAGATATGAGACGTAGAAGACGATTCCAAGATGGTTAATGGGGCACAAACCGGTGGGCCTTGAAAATCGGGCAATTGGCGAGACATTCGCTCGATGCGAGTCTCTCGATTCGCAAAGTTTGACATCGGCCGTACATCAGATTCTGCAAGGGTTCGGTATCCATAAGTTTGGCACTCGCACCGAACTGACTTCGTTTTCTAGCAAAAGAAGATCCAATGCATCACATATCCACTGTGCAGGAGTGGTTTAGACAAGCGCGTGAGGAAACCTCTGAGAAACGGAGAGCTAGGAATATGGAAGAGAAACTCGTGAAATGTGGGGGAGATTGGAGGATGTGGCTCCAATGGACAGTGGAATCCTTAGCTGGTTTCTTACAGTGGCTCGGTTAACGTTTCATGATTATAAATATCAACAAAGCACTTCATCTGCTTGATGCTTTATATGTATCATGAGCTCGATTGTTTGTTGCAATAATAGCAGTTGAACGTAGCTTTTACAAAAACAAAATGAAAATTACTTGATTTTAGTCATGCTTGGGAATTTCCATTCACCAATACTCTTTTCGTCCCTCTCTCAACAATACTGCACTGGTTGAGAGGGGGAGGCTCGCCTCCAAGATACACAATGGACGCATAATATAGTTCCACCTACAAATTTCCCAAAAACTTGAATCTGGGGATGTTTTTGAAAAAGGCTCTACAGACAAATTGTGACACATATAAACGCGAATCTGAATATTAACACGGAAATCCAGTTTGAGAAAGCAACAATTTTTTATCCTCATTTTTTCGAAAATACCCGCTTTGCCTATGACGCAAAATCATAGTTCCACCACATGTTTCTCTGCTGCATTTTGCTTTTACCCAATCAAATTTTGAAATTATTACCCATTCAAGTTCCTTAGCTTATAGCAAAGGCAAAACCGCTGTCAACTTCCGTAAAAGGAAAATCCTAGCAAAAGAGACGCAGGAATTGTCAAAGTGTCAGCTCACGCTGGAATTTGTCGGGGTGACTTCATAACGAACAAATTTCTCAAGGATGCTACAGGATATGATACTGGGAAGGAACCCTGATTACTATCCGACCGAGATAAGCGCCATCGTGAGAAAATAATACGACTTTATCCAGACGGGTACGGAAATCAAAACTTCTTCAAAAGTTAGTGTCTCAATGGAAGCAGTTTCACGTGTTTTACAACACGCTCGTGACAGTCCATGTCTGGAGGATAAGAAATACGCTTTCAGTGAAAAGAAATCAGAGAGAAAAACGAGCCATTTTTCTCAAAAAGTTTTGCTAAGTAGAGCGAAGTGAGGACACTTTTTTATCTGTGATATTTTGGAACCTCTGACCATCCTCCTGATCATTTTCTTCTCCATACATGTTGCTACGAAGTAGAAAACCGATCTGAGAAAGAAAAACGTTAAGAGAAAGAAAGACGCAAATCAAAAATCACAAATGAAAGATTGTCAAACTTAGCTCGAAAAGACTCAATTACAGCTCAAAACCTCCATTACTATCCGACCGAGATAAGCGCCGTATCGTGAGAAAATAATACACAACTTTATCCAGCCGGGTACGGAAATCAAAACTTCTTCAAAAGTTAGTGTCTCAATGGACGCAGTTTCACGTGTTTTCCAACAGGACACTTTTTATCAAAAGGAGTTATAGAGAAAAGCCATTTTTCTTAGAAAGTTGATTGCCAAGTCGACTGAAGTCGTTGTTTGACTATAGTTTGAGTTTGAGTTTTTTTGAGCTAAGTTTGATAATCTTTCATTTGTGATTTTTGAGTTGTGCCTTTCTTTCTCTTAACGTTTTTCTTCCTCAGATTTCCTTTTTACTTCGTAGCGAACATACAGTCCATATCCGGGAGACAGGGTGGGTGGGGCCACAGACGTGATTGCGGACTACACAAACTTGATAGATGTCGCAGCAGTCAGCTGATTTGTATTCGGTAACTTCTGCTATTATTTTATCTTCTGCTGCATTCTGTTATTCTCTGGCACTATTATGCTTCGTTTTGGAACAGGTAAGTCACTTTCAGTAAAAAATAACGCTGCTGTGTACTAAATCTGCACGATTTATTGTAAATTCCGGTAGTGGAGCGTTGTTTTTGCACCACCGATGAATTTCTAAGGTTCCTTTTCAATTTTTTCTTTTCGCGTTGCATGCAGTTTTCGTAGCAGCATCATTAATGTGTTCTTAACAGTGTCGAGAACATTTTTTGAAACTGCTATGAAGCTTGCATTCTACGAACAACGCATTTTGCATGGACTTCCCAGCATCTCAAGGTTTGTTTCATTGAATTTTCATCTCACTTTTTTTCTGTGCGACTTCTTCTTCATAACAGCATCTTCTACATGTTCTCTTTTTTGTGTGGAACATTATTTGATGCTGTTTTGATCAAGCTGTCGCTTTTGTGCATGTCTTTTTCCAGGTAGTGCTGCAGTCGCCGTCCTTTTGCCTGCCACGTGAGGTTTCTTTTTTATTTTTCATTTTACTTTTTTCCTCTCGGCTTCATCACAGCATCTTTTATGTGTTTCTTTTGTTGTGTGGAACACTATTTGATGCTGTTTCGAAGCTCGACGCTTTGTTTATGCAGTTTTCCAGAACGAGCTGCAGTTGTTACAATTCCATTGGTCTTCTGGGCGAGTACTTTCAGAAATGTAGCTTTTTTTTTCAAATCTCGCTGGGGGGATCAAGCTTAATATTCACTTCCAAAGCTTTTTTATTCTGTATAAAAATCCTGCTCTCCTGCGAAGTGTTGTTTGTCGCTATTCCTCACTACGGCTGTCGCAAGCTTCCGCAATCCTTGTCCAAGGAAAACAGGATCTTTTTATACAGAATAAAAAAGCTTTGGAAGTGAATATTAAGCTTGATCCCTTTCAGCGAGATTTGAAAAAAGCTACATTTCTGAAAGTACTCGCCCAGAAGACCAATGGAATTGTAACAACTGCAGCTCGACCTGGAAAACTGCATGCACAAAGCGACGAGTTGCTTCAAAACAGCATCAAATAGTGTTCCACACAACAAAAGAAACACATAAAAGATGCTGTGATGAAGAACAAGTCGAAGAGGAAAAAGGTAAAATGAAAAATAAAAAAGAAACCTTCACGCAACAGGCAAAAGGACGGCGACTGCAGCACTACCTGGAAAAAGACATGCACAAAAGCGACAGCTTTGATCAAAACAGCATCAAATAATGTTCCACACAAAAAAGAGAACATGTAGAAGATGCTGTTATGAAGAAGAAGTCGCACAGAAAAAAAGTGAGATGAAAATTCAATGAACAAACCTTGAGATGCTGGCAAGTCCATGCAAAATGCGTTGTTCGTAGAATGCAAGCTTCATAGCAGTGTCAAAAAATGTTCTTGACAATGAAAAGAACACGTGAATGATACTGCTACGAAAACTGCATGCAACGCGAAAAGAAAAAATTGAAAAGGAACCTCAGAAATTCATCGGTGGTGCAAAAACAAACTGTCGCCTAAACCTACACCCTGAAAAAATGCAGGACGAGTTTTTTGGCAAGCTGCCCACTGTTTGAATTCAGTTCGTTGCGGGACCCACGCCATTTGCCACTACCGTAATTGGTTTTGGCGCATCGTTCCTATTAGGACTGTACATTTGAATGGTTGACATTGGTTTTTGGAACTCTCTCATTCGGTGTCATGTTGTTCTTCCATGTGACTGCTTATTATTATGATTTCAGCGTCGCCATGTAGTGAAGCTAGTGATCATCCCCTTTTATAAGGCCTTTTGTTGCTGTTTTGTCGTGTTTTTCTGTTGCGTATCTGACTTCAAGTACCAAATTCGACGGAAGTCTTCGTGAGCTCAGTGAATTTGTCAAGGTTGTGAGTAAAGTTTGTTTCTCTTGCTGTTTGTCTCCCTTTTTCGATTTTTTTATTTTCAGATTTTCAATTGTGGGCCTGTTTTATTGACTGAGGATCTCGTCGTCGATTATTGTTATTCATTATTGCTGTTCGTCACTATCGCCATATTTTTTTGCGATTACGTCAATGTAAGATGTTTTTTTTAATTCTTTCGGCTTCTAGTATTAGTCAGATAGGCATCGACAGGAATATTGAGCTCGAGTCGCCACCCCCCAGTCGCCATTAAACTTACACAAAAAACGCTGACGATTCTTTGTACAAGCCTTTGGCCGCGCCTATTGGATTTAAGGCTTACTCCGTTCATTCCTTTGACCTCAATCCTACTGACATGGTAGAAAGAAGTCCATTGCTCATTCTAAGGTCGATGGATTGCAGAAAGGCATGAGGATGTGAAAAGAGAAGAGGAGGGAAGTTCATACAACTAGGGACCTGGGTTTCCACTTGTTGACAACTGCGAGTGTGAGCGGGAACAGTTTTTCGAATTTGTTAACAAACTCGAAAGGGCGGTGAAGCGCGCATTAGTTGGCTCCTCCGCGCCGATATAGCTGTATAATATTAACAATTACCTGTGTGTTTCTCATTTAACAAACTAACAGCAGAACGTAATCTGCGGAGTGTTGCCAGTGAGCGACCGATTATATCTACTGACGAGAGACGGTGCTGTGCGAGGGTGAGGAGGCTGGGGAAGTGGGGTAGAGGGGTACGACTTTCTATATTGATTACTCAGTGGAGGCGTAGATTATGGTTGGGGAACAAAGCATGTCTTGAAAACCTTAGTTATTAAGCGGGATTAGAACTGCACTTGAGTAAGCAAAAGCAAATTC